CTGAGTTGTTCAGCGGTAGTCGCCAAGAGGCGCAGATTTCGCCACGAAGTACCCAAGTCGATTGTCTAAATTGGACCTTAATGGACACCGGACAACGGCTGCGGCTGAGGTTTCCATTTCCTCTTCCATTAATCAACCTTGTCTGTCGCTGGGCGGCTAAGTAAATGCGTAACTCATTTCTACGAGTTTTCCCTTGGGACCGGCAATAGGAACAGATACGGTGACTTCCAGACGGGAACCTGTGGATAGATTCTTTTGCCACTGTCGTTTTCAGCGCTGATGGCCAGGGAGTGATGCTTTCTTGTTTGTTGCAGAGGTGACAGCTTTGACAGCGACGGTAGGGTAGAGTTACCACTACTGAAGCGGGCCATCATTTAGCTATACGAGTGGGTTAAAACTTTTGTTTATGACCTCAATGTACACAGAAAGTTTTTCACACGTTGCTATTGTCAGTTCCTGCTTGATAAATGGTTTATTGTACGAACCAAATGAATGCAGTCAAAAAGACCAGTTACTTGCAACCGGGTCGGCTCAAAAACCGTGACTGTCACAGCAAGGCAAGCGGTGAAATCAACGAAAAAAAGCAACGAAAACGTCATAGAAACTATATTTCACATGATTACATATATCTACACGAGTTTGTGCACACAGACCCTCTCAAACCGAAACCCCCGCAGGGCAAACGCAAAGGCCTGGTTGGCATGCGAGATCGCGATCTCAGGGTGATGAGGTCCAGTTGACCCGGCGCATAATAAATGAATGTATCTGCCGCTACATCATCACCACTCGGTATATCAGGTGAATCGCTGGATATAAAGTAAGAGGTGACTGAATTGACTAAAGGAGCAAAAATCTTCCCCGAAAATGAGAATCAAGTTGTCTATGAAGTGGTCTCACCGGCTGCTTTATTCCGATTTTCAAAGTCTGATCTGATCAGTCTGAAAGCTCGACTGCTTGACCACGTCCATAAGAATTGTGCGTTCCGGGCGGCTGAGTTCATCGGATGGCCTGGGAACGCACAATAAAATCCGCTCAATTTTCCATTTTCCAAGGATTGCAGCCTGTGCCGTTTCTTTTCAAAAGTACAGCAGTACCAATAACTTTAAACAATCTAATTTCAAAGAATAAAATAATTGCAAACCCGCGGGAACGTTTTTGTCTACATGGTCTCCCGATAGGAGGACGTATTTTGAATGGGATTCGTCCTAAACCTACTCATTATCTACCAATGTTCAGTCAGATTTAGAGAAATCAGTCAGATTTCGATTTCGCTATATAATCCTGGACTAGACAACCATGGGTTTCTTGGCGCCTAAAAATTTGTCTGTTTTATAGGAATTCTGGGCGGAAGCGATGTGGCTAGTGATGCCGTCCACTGTACCCACGGTCAAGAGGTAAAATCCTAGATAAAGCGCCGTTCAGGTCAACCAAACCTTTCACTCCACTGACGTCGATTAGTGTACGGTCAGACCTACCTAGAAAGATAAACCCACCGTGGCGCTGTAATAAATCGTTGGCTACGCACAGTCAATATATGTACATTTAACAAAATCAACTCAAATACCTCTATGCTCGTGAATAAAAAGTTACGAGAATCGTCTTACGGTAATCTTTGCCTCTATTTCTCAGCAGAAATTTACTTTGGCCCATTTGCTTTACGAGGATAGCAAAACGAACGAAAACTAAGCAGCTTGGTTCCGATAGGAATTCAAAAAAGTGAGACACTTGAATTCCCGCCGTAAAACTGTCAACAGCTGTTGTGTTATAAAGCTAACACGTGAAAAGACTTGAAAGCGTATGCGTGAAACAGGTTCCATGTTGGGCCTTCCTTTGAACTTACATGTGAATCCACAGCGGTCAGGCGCTCCGTCATTCGGGTGCACACCCCACCATGGCAGCACAGTCAAGCAGATGACAAGAAACGGAGCTTCCTTCAAGTGTATGGCGCATCCCAGAAAAAAAGATTGATAATCGCGAAGTACTTCAACCTTTCATTGGTATGCCAGCTACCTCTAGAGACCCTTTGTAAAGCGAACAGACTTCAAGTGTTTTCACCGCGAGTTCCATGGAATCGACTGGACCACCCATCCCATATACAAGCTCTAACCTTTACTCGCATAATCAATTCACCGCGGCTTTGGTGTATAAACCTTTATCGAGAATATGCTGCTGATTCATACTCCACAGGATCCTGCTGGAAGACCTGTACATCGCACAAGAACGAAAGTTCAACACGGATCCAATTCATCACCGTAATCCTAGGCGTGGAATGATGCGTAGTGCGGTGTGGTGTGAGGTTACGGACACCACACCTCAGTCATCGACCTTGTCTGAAAAATGTGCTGCCACTGCCACCATCATGTGAAGGATTTAGGTAATATACAAAAAAAAACGATTGAAGCGTGTTATAGCCATTCGTACGGATTAGGCTTTTTTTGCAGCGTACTCTGTTTAAAAAATTTCACCTAGTGCAGCAGATTTAGGCAGTTTCGCAGCTCGTTTGATTTCTAAAACGGACTTACACTGTTTTGCAACTAGACTTTACGTACATTTTATGATTTTCCAGCTAAAGTTCCCAAAATAACGTACAATCAAAGAAAACATTGGGCATAAGCTATATTATGTTGTGTTTCTACTCGGACATGTGGCAAAATGTAAAGGATAATATGGGGAAAAATCAAATTAGTAACAGAGGCTACTTCGTGGCAAAATGATGTATTCAAAACTAACACTTACAAAATCAATAAGAAACTAAGTCACGGAGAAACAACATTCTACTTTATTCCGTACTGTATGGTTTGTTAAGTTACTCGTGTAGAGGTTCGACGCCACCTACTTGCATAGCACGCACAGTGTTCCCATGTCTTCATCTATAAATCAGTGAAGGAAGCAGCCACTTCAAGAAGGGACGAGGTTTTCTATTCGCCAACAACATAGTAGTAGTGTTCACTTGTGTATTTCACCGCGTTGTTTTTTCGTGATCAGTGAATTTTGTTAACACAACTCTTGCCCCCCTTGTCCAAGGTAAATGATGCTATGTTTCTCTTGTAAAGAGGAAAAGCTCTTAATATTTCATGAGAAACCTTCACACATAGATCGTGGATATAAAATAAATATTGAAATCGTTAGCCGGTAAAGAGTCACGTGAAGAACGCTTCCAGAAAACCATCGAATAACTAGCTGTATTGAACGGCAGCCAATTTAAAGAGCACTGATGCTATTCATTTCACCTGATCTCATCTGCTGATGACAAGGCCACAACTACAATAGCTTCTGTCCCTAAATCCTTTGTATGGTGGTGGCAGAACATTTTTCAGACAAGGCCGATGACTGGGGTGTGGTGTCCGTAACCCCACACCACACCGCGTTACGCATTATTCCACGTCTAGGATTACGGTGATGAATTGGATCCGTGTTGAACTTTCGTTCTTGTGACATCTGTAAATAATCTCCTGAAATGTCGAAATTAGAAACACAAACATTAATAATGCAAATCTAGCGCACCTGTAGCCATTCATTGTATCGACCAGTGCAGTACCATTTGCTCTCGAGAGGGATTTGATCTCTGAAACTCTGTTGGAATTACGCTAAAATGAAAATTCCGGGTACCCCCCAGGAGGCCCATCGCGCGGCAAGAAGGCCGAGTCGGCGGACGAGTCGCGGCGCGTGATGTGCGATGAAGGACGTGCAATGGGACATTCTATTTAACTTGACGCGATTTCCCTAATACGCGCGCAACTCGTCCGCTGAATCGGCATTTTGCCGCGCGACGGGCCTCCTGGGGGTACCCCGAAATTCCTACCAATTCAGAAACTATTCTGATATTACCGCCAGGAAGTGCATTAGGAATTAGAAAGTGAAAGAAAAGGTACAGAGTTCCAAATATTCCAAACATTCCAAGGCGAGTTGAGTTTTTCCTATTGAAAATCGAATTTTCCAGCAAGAAAGTATTCCTTGCGAAAGTTTCGATTAGTGCTTGTTCCCCAATTCATTACCAGAAGTAGAAATCCCTGGGAGCAGGCAGCCAGCTCACGTCCACTCGATGCATTTCATTGCTCGCCGCGTCGTCGTGTCCCATCATTGTCTCATCGGCATGTCAACACTGCGAGATCCGAGTGATCACGGCGAAAAGTAGCCACGGAAAGCCAGGAAGGGTCATCCCAGGGGATGAGCAGCGGTAGTGGTGGGCTAATGGAGAGCTGAGCTATTTTCTCGTTAGCTGGTTGGAGGGGACCAATTGATCGTTGAGTAACAATTGGGTCAGCTGCAACCAGCAGACGTGAAAAACTGCTTCTCCACCGATGTCAGAACAGCAGAGGGTTGAGCAAGCTGGCTGAAAGGCTATTCGAAAGCGGTGAAGTTGGACGAGAAATAAAGAATAACAATAACTTTAAGAATATTATATCAAATAAAATATAGAAATAATGAAAATAAGTCACGAATTAAAAAAGAAATACTGACAAAAAATCTTATTTTGACTTGTTATCTAACGTATTCTAATTACCTATCTTGGTAATAAATGCTGAGCTTTCATGACAGCTGTGGAACTACAAGAATTGGCTTTATCATACGCTTAAAACTAGAACGTTTCAGAAGCTTAAGAAAGAAAAAAAAAGGACAGGGAAAAATATATGCTAGCAATAGACCGTTGTTTCATCAGAATCTTCAGAAATGTGCCAGGTGACAATTCCCAGAAGTTTCACCAAAGATGCACCACCACGTGAACAATTAAGAAAGAAAAAACCTTCATAAACGAAATAATCAAAATGGCTCGTTTCGCTCCTTTCTCAGACTGAGACCGATCAACTAGACGGTTTTACAGTCAACACCGTTACTCTTTCCTTTTTAGTTTTGGAGTTCGAAGGATCTATGTATAGGGAGATATCAGAGTAACTTCCTCAAAAAGTCAGAAGTTTTTCAAGTATAAGCAGACATTTTTTAAAGGTACCGTGCACAGAAGTCACATGATCTCAAAACTTGGCGGTTTACAGCATGTTTTATACAAAGGCATACGAGAATCGGTTCAGCCGTAGATAGGGACGTTGTTTCCGTAAAGCATCGCGGTTTCTGTGATGTCTCGTGTTCTCTGGACGGCCCTTGAAAAACCAAGGAAGGCTATTAATCTGTGCTGCATCGTACCGATATCCGCATCAGGTCTCCAAGGTGAACAGCCTCTAGTCGATAGAATAATGTAGGTAAGGGAAGTCGGCAAATTAGATCCGTAACTTCGGGAAAAGGATTGGCTCCAGTGACTGGGTCGGTTGGCCTGTTAACTGATGCTTGTGCGGTTTCGTCCGTGGCTGGCTGATGCTTACGCTGATGCTGGACTAGTGACAAGACTGCCTTGTGGACGTTTTCAGGTGTGTGCTTTGTCTTCGGGCTTAGTATCCTGACCGACCATCAAAACAGTCGAACTGGAACTGGTACGGACTCGGGGAATCCGACTGTCTAATTAAAACAGAGGAGACAGATGGTCCTTGCGGACGTTTACTGTCTCTGATTTCTGCCCAGTGCTCTGAATGTTAAATCGTAGTAATTCGAGTAAGCGCGGGGTGGGGTAACGGATGCCAACTGATCGCCCATGTAATAGATGAAAGGATCCATCAAAATATTCAGAAGTTGAAAAATTATGTTAGAGATACCGCCAGTCGCTGCAGGAACAGTTTGCCAACCAGCGATGTTGCGTCGATCGTGCGAAATAGCATGCAAAACGAGAGACGCCACAACCCGTGTCGCAACGTTGCCCACCCGTTGTTGCATTACGTTTTACTGGTTGCACGAATTGGAATACACTCTACAAAATGATCCTTCTCCAATGATGAGGAATTAGATTACCATCACCCAGTAATGTTCTACCCTTACGGTTTTTTTACATTCTACCCCTTTTAGCCCCGAATTTTTTCCCTGTGGAAAAATTCATTCCATTTTTCCCTGTGAAAAGAAATTCATTCCATTTGTAAGCACAGAAATAGCACTACAGTAAAATTTATAATTCTATTCGACAACAATGAAACGAGCAAGAAAGTTGTGAAAATTGCCACAACTTCCTATTTTTCAAGATTTCCTCGAAAGGTTGCAAATTTCGTAGTCACGTCAAAAAAGCTCATGGTCTTGCACGACATTGTACTTCATGGTTTGGGTATACAATATGAATATACTGCAATCATTTTGGAAATAACTGACACTTATCTAGTAGGCTGGCACAGACCAGTGCGTTTCACTGTTGTATTTGTACACGATTCCTTGATGCCAACAACCTCACACTATAAAATGGCGGGTACAAAGCAAAATTTGAAAGGAAATGGGTGTCTTTGAAAGCAGCTTCCACGATGAAATGATTAGCCGCCAAGGGGCACAAGAATTGGTCAGTGGAGGCAGGATGGAAGAAGGGAGCCAGAGAATAGCGGAAAAAACCCAAGAACCTCCTGAGACCCTTCCTAGCCCGTTGATTTGCGCCGTATGAAATCGCACAAGAAAATGAACAACAGTATTTCGAAAAATATCTCAAAATGATTCAATGAGAAAAAATCTATTCTATAAAAGGGATGGGCGGAAGTGGTGTAGTGACAAGTGGCGCGCTCACCACGCGAGCGGTCCGGGGATCAAATCCTGGGTCGTGAGTCGCCCGGGCCAACCAAGCCTTCCATCCCTCCGGGGTCGGTTAATTGGTACCAGACTTGTCTGGGAGGATAAAAACACTGACTTGTACATCGGCTGGCCCCCGCAAGTCATTGTATAGGCCACATCGCATTCAAACGCCACTACGAATGTACAAATGGAAGTAGAATGCGTGCCGCATCCCAAAAAGGGATTGATCAACGCTTAATGCTTTATCCTTTATCTTTCAATTTTATGGGAGCTTCAAATCCATAAGTATGTGAATTTGGTTTTGTTTTTCAATATGGAGTTCCAAATACTCTTATACGCTCCACAGATTCAATAGAGATATTTACAAAAATATCTACAAATATTTAATATTCAATATCTACAAGTATTTTAATATTCTTTAATTTTGATCTGGGAATGTTCTAATTGTTTTCCACATCGAAATAGGTCTACTAATCTTATCTTGGAATAGGCCGTGCCTACGACATTCAACAAGAAAAAGGGGGAGAACACCCTCAACCATGATTGATCCCTCAAATTTTTGCATATGCTGTGGATGAACTCGATTGTTCCAACTGTCCTTTATATAAATTACAAGCACAGCTTAATCTGAGAAATCTTATTAGAGTTTATTGATATGTAATCATCAATTACCATTAAATATCGCTATATATCACCATCATGTATCGCGCATATTACCATATTTCACAACCTGATACCTGCATCTTATTTTATGTGCCAGTAATGCCATCATCATAAATCAACTATTCGCCCTTTGCTGCTTTCCATCCTGCTAGATGATTCGTATATTCATTACTACCTCATCAATAATGTCAATAGCAGCGAGTTTTGGATATTTTCAATTCAAATTCTGGCCATTGAAATCCCTTTCTGTTTAACCATTACATGTACTTGATGCAGCCTAGCGCCGAGTTTTATTATTATTTCATCTAATGAATCCTGAAATTATGCCATTCAAAGAGAATACCGTCTACAGAATTAGCTATGTGACCAGCGCGTAGAGGTACTAAAAAATTATTACTATTTGGAAAAATTAAATATTACTAATATTCAAGTATCAATTGTCATTTGTAATTTTTTTATTAGATTGATGTGGAGGCGAATATAGGCCGAGACAATGGAAGTGGCGCAACATTATCGACACTCCACCGAATGAACCAGGCCCAAATTCAAAGATCTCAACGATTCTGGAAAGGGTCGAGTGCGTTGTAGGCCGAAGAAGTATTAAGGTTAATGTTCTACTTCCTCCTATTCAATTTGCCTAATTTTGATTAGGTAGATTTAGACTGATACATAAAAAATTACCTGAAGGCACATTTTGGGACTGAATAGCTGTAGTTCTAATAGCTCTAAATGTGATAACTGGCTCCAAAGCTAATGAAAGAAAACGAGAAAAAGCGCTAGATACCCGTCAAATCACACTGCGTCGATCGAGGGGGGGTTGAAATCTTACAGAGATCTCGTGTGTAAATAACCGTCCTCTTTAGTAAAGGACGCCTAACCAATGAGGCTTTCGTATAGACTCGACGCAAACCCCGCCCACACGATCAGCACGCATGGTTGTTAAACAAACTTTTTCCGGGTTTCTTTTTGTTAGGAGTATTGCGCTTCCTCTCTTAGTGGGTCAAGTAGCTCATTTTGTGCCATAAGTAATAAATTGCAAATGTTCCTTCAAATACACTACAAGACCCTGCCATTAAATACCACTGAAAAAACTCCCGTATGTTTAACGTATCTACATATGATTATGCACTCCACCCCCCCCCCCCTTGCTCCATGCGCAAGCTACTGGAAAATCCAGTCAGAGTGAGTCAGGTCGAGTAAATTTGGCAAAAAAAATAGTCTCCTTTTTGTGATGGTCCCACCCTCAACTCCAATGGTTTTATTCTTATCTCCAATCTATTAACATATTAGCTCAACTTATAACCTTGACTTTTTCCAAACATGTGTGTACATCGATCGAGGGGGGTGGGGGTTGGAGCGGAGGGTGTGATATGCATATAGCACAATCAATCGGGTAATTCCTTTTCCTTCTAATTTCAGAATCGCTAGAAAATATAAATTAACAGAAGAATCTTCACGCCATAACAAGGCCCTGTTCCCGTTCCGGAGAATCATCTTTAACACGACCCAGTATGATACTTCCTACCTATTTGAAAGACTGAGTTTGACCGCGAATCGCTCATCCTGTTCCCAAACTGCCGGAGACGGCTAGACTCCAGCCAATTTCTTTTGTACTCGCAAACAATGTTTGACAACTGCTTGCGGAGAAATAGTGTGACTTCTTTCATCGCATTGTTCTTCTGGTCGCTCCACACTTTCTCAAAGGCATTTTTTTTCCAAATTAAGAGCCGCCGCGCGGGGGGGGGGGGGGGGGGGGGGGGGGGGGGGGGGGGGGGGGGGGGGGGGGGGGGGGGGGGGGGGGGGGGGGAACCAGAGATTATGGTTTATTTATCAGAGCGACTTGCATCGAATAAATGTGAAAAAGCGGTCAGCAAAGCTCTAACAAGGAAAGGATGGTAGGTCGAAGTGGCCGTTTGAAATGAAATGTATACCTCCTGATGCTTCTCCAGACGCTGATTCCAAATCTGTCTTCTAAATCTGCTAAACGACTCTCCGAACGGAGTTATGAAGCGTAATAGCTCAGTGGTGATGATCCGGGCTCAGGCTGGTAAGAGCTCATAGGATCGGTTCCTTTGCAAATTGGTTGCTTTGCTTTTGTCTCTAGAAGTGTTGCGGACAAAAGCAAAGCAACAAACTTGCAAAGGAACCGATCCTACGAGCTTTTACCTGCCACCCATCACCACTGAGCTATTACGCTTCATAACTCCGTTCGGAGAGTCGTTTAGCAGATTTGGAAGGCAGATTTGGAATCAGCGTCTGGAGACGCATCAGGTGGTATACATTCATTTTGAACGGCCACTTCGACCTACCATCCTTCCCTTGTAAGTTTACACCCTTCGACCCTGACTTTTTTGAAAGGTTACTAATATGGGATGCTGATGGTTCTTGTGGTATTAAGGCATCCACTACTATTTTGCGAAGCCATGTTAGCGCCAACCGAAAAAGCAAAACTTTGTCACCGTAAGGAATCGATCCACCAATACTCTGTCCCTTTTTTGTCTTTAGGAAAAATGAAGCACGGTCTCGACATAATGCAAAAAATTGTTTTTTTCAACGGAGCGTGATCTGAAGGGCTCTCCTGGTTGAATTGCATGACGGTTTTATAATCTTCTACATATACTAGAATTACAATTACAAATAAGTCATATAGAATCATTTGCATAATGCCTATTATAATACCTATTGATTAGGAAAATTGGTAAGCTTGGAAAATAGTACTAATCAATGTAACAACTGTACAAAAATATTCATAAAGCAAGAAAGAACGAGCAACCTCGATATAGAATCTTCAAGAATGCAAAGTATAATATTTGCAATATCTTCTTGAGACCCATCAACACAACCTTTTTAGGGAACAAGGCAAGTTCTTCGAGCGGATCTCAAAATAGTCGATGTCCAAATTTTTACTGTTTCATGATGGCATTTTATGGATCTCGAAAGGATCTCTGGTTTGCTCACGAAAGACCTTTTTGGACGGGAATAGATTGAGAACAAAATCAGCCTTCTTTTTTTCTCTATCTTTCGCTGCTTTACTGAGTTTTCCATACACACGAGTCTCATTTTCATGGGTCAGCAGGTTTTGATGCATTATCGATCGCTGCATAATTGGGGGGGGGGGGGCGGAGTGCTGGACATGAATTCATTTCTTTGGAGACTTGGTCTTATTTCCTCCTGAAGAGATGGTATTTTGACGCTCCGATTACATGGCCATACAAACGCAATCAATTCGAATGGCTTAGGAGTCGCAACTGCAACCGGTCCA